GGTTTTGCCTCTTATCACTTAGCTTCACACAATCGCTTGATAGTGCCCTGTAGGGTGTTGTACCCCACTGGACATTTCGTGAACCGATTGCCAGGAGTTGGTTAGTGACTGGTTTAAAGGAAAAGATGTCGGTGTCCTTTCCGGAAGTGCTGGAACATGACAGATTCAAAATTAGTCTCAACCTATATTTCCAATTATCACAAATGAAGAATTATTTTGAAGAATCATGATTACCTACCACAGAGACTTGTACTTCTGAAACAGCCTGACGAAACATCTATCTTTGTGTCCGTTTTCATTTGCCCGCACTTCCTTCCGTGTAGTTTTCGGTGGTGGATGCCGCCTTTATTCGTTTTCCTGCCATCCTCTTTATACAGCAAATAACGATGTCCTCGCGCATCAAAGATGCGGACCAGTGACTTTGGGGGTTGTTCCACAATCTTAAATGTCGGTGTTCCTTGCCTTCCCAGAGCAAAATGAAGGCCTGAAACAAATTACAACATAAACTTACTTTTTAGATACAGGGCACCTGCATACTAACTGGGAAAATGGACGATCGCCAAACTAAAAATAAAGGCACCTACAAAAGTTTTGGGCATTTTACTGGCATTCCTATATAAAGCAGTGAATAACATGTAGACTGTTCGATGGTTAATCCATTCACTTCAAAATGTTAACTGCTATTCTGGAAATCATTCTAAAACATGTACTGTATCCAAAGTTGTGCTGGATTGTCTCGCTCCCACAAACACTCCATCTCTCTGTCGAAATGACGTCCGTTTCTTCCTACTTGCAGCTCCCAAACCACATTTAGTAAGGCGCCTCATGCTTGCATCTAAACTTTCTGACTGCTTTAAATTCATCATCCTCAAAAAATGTTTAGATTTTCGACCTTTCCTTGTAAACTTGATTGCAATGCCGAAAACAACCCATAGAGAACTGAGGGATAGTTTATTGCCATCTTTTTTTTCACAAAATATTGTAAGGCGATGTTAACATTTTGTGGACTCATTTGTAGAATGTTTTCAAACAATCATGGAGACAGCATCTCAATATTATCTGAGAGAAACCTCATGCGTCGCTCCCTCTTTCCATCGTTTAAAACGCCCTAACCCCAATCATTTGTTTTGTACCTTGTTGATTTCGGGACGCAGATTTCAGTGTTTTTCGAAGTTCTTCACTGGTAAGAGGCTTTCCAAATCGACACTTAAAAGCATTGTCTTCTGTCTCGTTTTTCATCACTGTCCGGCCGGTTTAAACGAAGATTGAGTAATGAAGATATCGTCATCTTCGTCTCTCCATTTTGGACTAGCGCTGCTACCACAGCTATCCAACGAAAATGTGACAGAACACCACATGATTTTCTGTTTTATGCACGCTGCTGCGTGCATAACGTGCACTGGTTGGGACGGGGATTCGCGTTTGAGAGAGATCCCTCTGTGTATTACCTCAACGTGGTATAACGAAGCCATATGTTTTCGATTACCAAACACACTAAAGACTACATTTTTGAAAAATGAAAATCTATTTAAAAGCTGGATAAAACATTTCCCCTCGGGGTTTGTGAGATTTAAAGATGAGATTCGGACATATTGTATCCCTACATATCGATATTTTTTCTTTGTTCCATCGACTGATTGCTATCGGAGTCTGAACAATTGCAATCCATCGATAGTTCGATGCATCGTTACAACCCTATCAATAAAGTGGTATATGAAGTGGTTAACGCCTTCAGTAAGCCCCAGCTTGTGCGATGATGTACAGCGATATTATGATGACCAAGTATCAACAAAGAGGGTTTGTGAAGCGGCCCTAAAAGTTAATATGTGGTACAAGACATTGTTTAGAGCTTTACGAAAAGAGTGAGCGAGGTGGGGTTTAAGCCCCTTTGCAATATTCTAGCAATATCACACGGCGCGGGACAATGGATTTCACACTTTACACCCATGTGGGGAATCAGAACCGGGCCTTCGGCGTGACGAGCGATCGCTTTAAGCACCAGGCTACCCCACCGCCCCTTGCGTGAAAGACACAAGCTGCCGACTGTATCCTCACCTCGTCTAGGTCTCTTGTAAAGTCGTCATAGCCTGTCCCCCGTCCCACCTGCATGGCGCAATGACTCTGGCAATGTCACACCTGGACCAAAAGACAAAGTGATCATTAGATAATTACAATGTTTCTTATCATCACGGAGTTTTACCAGAGTCATTATATTCTGCACTGCATTTTAATTACTTTGTAGCAGTATGTATGTTCTGATAAATCCACTTAATTGCAAGTACTTTGTAGCAGTATGTATGTTCTAATAAAATCTACTTAATTGTAATTACTTTCTAGCAGTAGTATATCCTGATAAATCCTACTTAATTGTAATTACTTTGTAGCAGTAGTATGTTCTGATAAATCCACTTAACTGTAATCACTTTGTAGCAGTATGTATGTTCCTAACAAATCTACTTTAACTGTAATCACTTTGTAGCAGTATGTATGTTCTAATAAATCCTACTTAATTGTAATTATTTGTAGCAGTATGTATGTTCCTAATAAATCCTACTTAATTGTAATTGCTTGGCAGTAGCAGTATGTATGTTCTAATAAATCCTACTCTTAATTGTAATTACTTTGTAGCAGCATGAATGTTCCTAATAAATCTACTTAATTGTTATTACTTTGTAGCAGTATGTATGTTCCTGATAACCCTACTTTAATTGTAATTACTTTGTAGCAGTATGTATGTTCCTAATACATCTACTTAATTGTAATTACTTTGTAGCAGTATGTATGTTCTAATAAAATCCACTTAATTGTAATTACTTTGTAGCAGTATGTATGTTCTGATAAATCTACTTAATTGTAATTACTTTATAGCAGTATGTATGTTCCTAATAAATCCTACTTAATTGTAATTACTTTGTAGCAGTAATGTATGTTCTGATAAATCTACTTAATTGTAATTACATTTGTAGCAGTATGTATGTTCTAATACATCCACTTAATTGTAATTACTTTGTAGCAGCATGTATGTTCTAATAAATCTACTCTTAATTGTAATTACTTTGTAGCAGTATGTATGTTCCTAATAAATCTACTTAATTGTAATTACTTTATAGCAGTATGTATGTTCTAATAAATCTACTTAATTGTAATTACTTGTAGCAGCATGTATGTTCTAATAAATCTACTTAATTGTAAGTACTTTGTAGCAGTATGTATGTCTAATAAATCTACTTAATTGTAATTACTTTGTAGCAGCATGTATGTTCTAATAAATCTACTTAATTGTAATTACTTTGTAGCAGTATGTATGTTCTAATAAATCTACTTAATTGTAATTACTTTGTAGCAGTATGAATGTTCTAATAAATCTACTTAATTGTTATTACTTTGTAGCAGTATGTATGTTCTGATAAATCTACTTAATTGTAATTACTTTGTAGCAGTATGTATGTTCTAATACATCTACTTAATTGTAATTACTATTTTGTAGCAGTATGTATGTTCTAATACATCTACTTAATTGTAATTACTTTGTAGCAGTATGTGTGTTCTGATAAATCTACATTTGAAAAATAGCTGTTTAATTAGATGAGAGAAAAGCCTCTAAGGGTATGCCTCGACTCCGTCACGTGACCAGTTTAGCCAATATGGCGGCAACTTAATTGTCACGATTGAGCCTGGTTTATTTTCAAGAGCTGATTATATTCGCAGAGTGTTTTGACAACTGAAAACCCATATAGCAGGAATGTCATCTATTCTGTGACTTCATTTTAAAGTCAAATAATTGTTATTAGTGTCAGTATTAGTACAGCAGATCTCGGAAGTTTCAAGTCGGCGTGTTGTAGCTCACTGGCTTGATTCTCGGTAACACAGCAAAGAAAGACTAAATTCTATCGATAAAAACGTCTTTCACATATTCGTTTAATTTTTAGAAAGGAAATATACCATTAGTTGAAATGTGTTTGCAAGTAATAATGATAGTTTCATAATTTTTAAAAATTGTTAGGGATTGTATTTGAGATGTGTGAAAAAATATGATCTGATCTGATCCGCCATTAAAATACTACAGGGCGATGTTTGAGTGTTTCTAGTTGTTATTCTTAAAACTTCCTCACGCATACACTTTTATTTTTATGAGGGGAATATACCATCAGACGAAAAAGGTGTTTGCAAGTAATAATGATAGTTTCATAATTCTAAACAAAGTGTTAGGGTGTATTTGAGGTGTGCGAAAATTATGACATATCGCCGATCTGATCTGATCCGCCATTGAAATACTACAGGGCGATGTTTGAGTGTTTCAGGAGATATTATTCTAAAAACTTCTTTCACATACAATTTTTATTTTGGGGAGGGAATATAGCTTCAGTTGAAGGTATTTGCTAGTAACAGTGATAGTTTTAAAATTTTAGGAAAATTGTTAGGGTGTATTTGAGGTGTATGAAAAATATGACATATCGCCGATCTGTTCTGATCTGCCATTGATGCCTGTGAAGCTTGAGTGTTACAGTTGTAAAACTTCTTTCTTTTCTTAGTATTTGACAAAACTGGAAAGGTCTTTACAACGCTTTGTGATAGTTTTAAACTTTCTGTATTTGAGGGGTGTGTGACAGTGTCAATTAACATTCTGTCAATCTCTATACCATTCCACACATTCAAGAAGATATCTGAAGCCTAAAATTACTAATGTGCAAAACGTCTCGAAGTAGATTTGAAAACAGTTGACAGCTGATGTTAACACATGTGTTCTAGCGATAGTTTTGTGTTCTTTAAAATGTTTGGGAAGGAGTGGCCAGGGGTGCATCATTTATTCTTTCTTTCATTCATTCAAATATGTATTCTTTGTTCTTTCTTTATTTCTTTCATTCATTTCACATACAATTCTTGCTCCTAATTCTTGCTATAATTCATTCATACATTCATTGTAAAAGTGGAAGATAATTTAGAAATTGAGAGAAAAAAGGCATTCGAACTCATAAGCATTCAACATAAACAGAAAAGCATTGAAACATGGTGAGACATTTTAATTACGTAACAGATCAATTCATACATGTATCATGATAACACTGTACACAACTGTGTAAATATTTAAGGAAACATGCATGATCATATTGACAGTATAGCTTTATGCTTTGCAAAAAGTATCCCGATAGTTTTCGATTGATGTAATAAACTGGCTGAAGTACTATTAAACGCAACCGGAAGTTGCCCCTGGGAACTAATCAAGTCCCTGTGTGCGTTGGTGCATGACGAGGCATACACTAATTAGTACAAATGGTAGAAAACAAGCGAGTGACCTATCCCTGTAGATTGTCCCTGTTTACATTGACTCGTCTGGCACAGGAGATACAGTGACTCTGGGCTTTACACAATCACACTGGGCAAGAGACGGAACTCGGTTCCGAGGGCAACGTCTGCTCGCCCAACCGTGACCACTCACGAACAGGTCGTAACGAGCCTTGTTTCCGGCGACCTCCCTACACTTGGAAGTAACTGTCGTTGCTGCTGTTGTTGTTGTTGTTGTTGTCGTCGTCTCTGTAACGTGAAAGACAACATCAGAGCGGTTTCCTCACCTACAGTACGTTTGATTTCATTTCAGACAGATGAATTGTTCACTAACACAAAATCTAATAACTGCAAAACCCGAAATTTGGCACATGGAATCGACGCTCCAACTCTGATGATTTGTCTCATCCGCGCAACACCTGGCTGTTCTACTACCAGCAAGTTGTTCCCTCGTAAATATAGCGAAAAGTAAAATATATGATCGTTTGTTAATCAACTTTTTTTATTTGGGTGTCCAAACTTATCACACAAATCAGTTGGTCTGTCGTTTTAATGTTACTGTGCAAAATTTCGTTTTGTTATAGCCGAAGAAAGACCAAACTGACTGACTGAGTGAGTGAGTGAGTGAGAGAATCAGTTTAGTATTACGCTTTTTAGCAATATTCCAGCAATATCAACTTTCTGACCGAGAGCTTCTGATATCTTCATTAGGAGCGCCTTCAGGTTGAGAAAAACGCCAGCATCGGCACTATTGGACCCGTCAACAACGGTAACAAGGTCGTGCAGGTTCTTCCGCCCTTCAAACATATAAATGGATAGAACATTACTTTTCATGCATCATTTTACATGGGTGCTCTGAAGCCTCCAATCATCGTCGTTAATGCGACTATTTAATATTTCTCCCTAATTTGGGCAACGCACGACTTTTACTTTCATCAAGATGTCCCCTCAAATATATTCATGCCAATAACGGTTGTCACCCCCTCCCCACCCCAACCCAACATACACCCTCACACACCCACCCCACACCCTCTCCAATTAAAAATTGAAGGGGTGACAACCATTATTGGCATGAGTATATAAATAAACCGTTTTGGTAGCAGATACATATCTCATGAACACCGGTTGTCATCGCTGATTTTCAGTGATCTATTCACATAATATCGACCTGTGGAATTTGTTTCGGTGCATAAGCCAGGCTGTTCTATATATATCAAGATTGAAAGATATTACATTACGCTATTTGTCCGAAACTGATCAAATTGATACTCCTAAGGTTTCAGTCTGTTCTGACAGAAGCTTTCGGGAACAAAAGACTTCCGTCAACAAAAGACTTCCGGGAACAAAATACTAAACTAAAGACTAAAGACAAAAGGAACTAAAAGAGCACTAACATTTCAAGGCATCTAAAACAATGAGAACTCACTTGGTGACATTCTTTGACACACTCCATTGTTGATGAACAGTGCAAGCGCGACAACAGCAACACACAGGAGTTGTCCACTTCATTGTAGCCAGCGTCGACATTGACAACAGAATATGAAGTCAAGATGATTTCGCTGAAAAAATGAACAGCTACCTGAGAGAAAGTAAGAGAAAGTATGTCCTTCACACATTGTACCTATGTCGAGGGAATCAAACTAGGGCCACTGGCGTGATGAAGCAACACCTTTATTCACTAGACTACCCGACGTCATATTAATGTGTGGATGTTACCCCAAAGCATTTACACAGCTGTAGACCATGTAGAAATACCAAGTTTTGCCGATGTCAACAACGTGGTTTTGTACTAATTCTAGAATTGTGTGCATGAGTGTACGTGGAAAGGGAAGACTAAATCTTCCAAGAAATGTCTGGATGTGGCATTTTTTTAAAGGCTGGCTGTACATTTGCTGACATATTTGTAATCTGAGGCCTTATCGACCAAGCTTGCTTCTAATTGACGAGGCGGCTGTAGTATTGATACATCCCCTGACACTTTTAACATTATTTACAATTTAAAAATAGAGACAGGCATAATTCAAATCATTCAATGGTGGAAACACACGAACTTTCGTGAGTGTACCAACATTAATTCTAAAGTTTGTTACTCTTTGCTTGGGACATAGTGTTTATTTTAATTATTGATTATTCATTGATCTTTAATATGATTGAATGGTTATGTCTAGAGGACTTGTGTACGCCTTTTGAACGCATGCCCTCAAACTGGCGAAAACAGAGTTAGTGAGTTTAGTTTAACGACAATTTAGCAATATTCCAGCAATATCACGGCGGGAGGCATCAGAAATGGGCTTTACACATTGTGCCCAAGTGGTGAATCGAACCCGGGTCTTCGGCGTTACGAGCGAACACTTTAACCACTAGGCTACCAGGCCCACAGAGAATTTCCTGAAGCTGTGACATTAACATGAGTAAATACTGCTCCTTCATATAGTACTGTAAACAGTGGTGTGCAGGTTGCATAGGAGACAGGACGAGCACTGAAGATAGCCACGATCTGGTCCACCTTGTGGGTCAGCACAGAGGAATACGTCAATGATGTCCTGGATACCACCATGAAACACAGGAACGAGACCATCTCACATCCATTCACATCAGCGAACCATCAGTCGAAAGAATTACTATTACATCGACAATGTCTTTCTCTTTACAAATACCTACAACATTTGGATCTCCGCTATATAGAGACGCAAACTTTGGGACCTTCCTACAGAAAAGACTGAAGACTCTGGTTGGGTTGGGATGGCGATGGATGGTCTATATATACCAATGTACACTCCCACATACTCTATCAATCAATTCCTGGAAGTCTTCTCAATGACGTTACGTTCGCAACTCATTGGCGGCCTCTCTTATCCACTCAGTGGTATTTTGTTACTGGTTTCCATTACCAAATTATCATATATGATTGTTGACTTTTGTTAAAGTTGCTATTTTAAGACTGAAGCCGGATTTGGAGAGTGGGTGCAGTTTAATTGAGAAACTACTCAAGCGGGTAGATCCTTATTCACTGACGAGGAGGAGGGGAAATGGGCGGGGCTTCAACATGTGGAGGAGTTCAATTGTGTTCCATCTACCACGTACCCGGATATCTGTCGGACGAGGCACCGTCAATTGGCAGCTATCGTTATCACGTCATACATCAAAATGTTCGTCCTTGAAGACAGTTGTTGTTGTGCAGGTAGGTGCCCATGTAGTCCTACACAGAACAAGGGCGCGAGGCCGTGGCGACATGCAAGCTAGGGAGGTCGGATTAATTGTGTGACATAAAACTCCAAGAAAACACTTGTGAATGGCTTGAAACTTGGAGATACGATAGATACAAGGCGCGGTTACGCGGCCATTTAAGAGTTTACATGAATGCAATGGGTGAGTGAGTGAGTGAGTTTAGTTTTACACCGCACTCAGCAATATTCCAGCTATATGGCGGCGGTCTGTAAATAATCGAGCCTGGATCAGACAATCCAGTGATCAACAGCATGAGCATTGGGAACCGATGACATGTGTCAACCAAGTCGGCGAGCCTGACCACCCGTTAGTCGCCTCTTACGACAAGCATAGTCGCCTTTTGTGGCAAGCATGGGTTGCTGAAGACCTATTCTACCCCGGATCTTCACGGGTCTACATGAAAGCAATGAATGAGTTATATATCTACCACAACACGTTAATCGAGAGAATAAAGAAAAACATTAGAAAATGAGTTCTGAAACTTGTTGGTGTGTCAGTGTTTGCAACTTAATAGTCCAACACATGTAATGTCGAGGACGTCGTACTCGTGGGCGCTGGTAGCCCAGTCGTCTAAGGTGCCGCGATTCGATGTCGCCTCCCTTGGTTCTTCCAGAAACCTATGATTGTGGGTTCGAAGCCGGATTCTAGGTTTCTCGGCACCATATCCGTTAGTTCCACCTAAATGGTAAAAGTCTCAGAGCTTCGGCTTTCAACCCTTATATAGGTAACACACCGAGTTAAAGCGATTCGCTCACACATTTCTACAGATATGCCTAACTAAATGAACTTCCAGATATGTAACAACATGCATGATGCTCCTGGAGGGTTCAATCGCCAACGCCAGCATTTTCAGCTACGTTGAATACTTGCTTGATGTTTGATAAAGAAACGCCATTATCACATAGTCAACCACAAGGATCATTCACTGGGGTAAACATTTAGAAGACGGATTTAAACAAATGAGCCATGCGGCTCATTGATTTATTCACACATAAATTGAAATAGGCTGGGATGGGTTCAAATTTCTACCCTACACTACCCCGATACCCGTTATGTTAATTCCTCAATCAACATCAAATTTGTAAGAAATGGCAATATATTCTTCAGCTCGGAGGATAAAATTTCGAGTTTTTCAATATCTTAACCATGTATTATATGCAAAACAGGTGACTGTAAACTAACTGTAATTCTTCAAAGACAATACAACCTTTTAATCATCAAAGAACAAAATATTACATTTTGTCATTTCTACTTAAATGAATAAACTACAGTTTTCGAGTTCAGATTTGTCATTTCATTATTCCCCAAGAATCTATTTATCCAGATAATAAGTTCAATAGAGATCTGGATCAGCTCCTTAGCTATTGTTAATGGTAACATATTGCTACTATACTACTAAAGAAACTGTGCATACAAAAATTTAAAATAAAAAATTATCAAACCTGTGTAGACACATAAGGATTTAAACTCAGAGATTAGTGACATGTATCCAACATGTATGCACGTGCCACGTTCCGTGACGTCAGTGGGTTCGTCCTTGAGACGTGCAATACGTTGTTGCACGTGCATTCCGGGAAAGAGAAACAGAGCAAATGAATGCCACACAATACTGTCACTTTGGAAAGCTCAACCCCTGCCCTTGCGATCGTTCAAAAATTAAAAGGCTATTGAAACGCATAGCATGCCAAGGCTCACGTCTGCACAACGTCATGAGGCCATTGGGATGGTCCGCGGGGGAATGTCTCAAAGACAAGTGGCTGCACATTTCCACTGCCACCGGAACACCATTTCTGCATTGGTGAGACGCTACCAGAACACAAATGACGTCATCGATCGGCCACGTTCTGGACGTCCACGTGTAACAACGCCAAGACAGGACAGATTGATAAGGGTGACCCATCTTCGCCACAGGTTTCAGACTGCAGTGATGACTGCCCGAACCATCCCAGGACTTCGCCGTATCCACCCCAATACAGTTCGACAACGTTTACGTCATCACGGGATCAGACACGACGTCCCGCCATACGGCCTATCCTGACACAACGTCATCGACAAGCTCGCCGAATGTGGTGCCGAAATCATGTCCGCAGAACCTTGTTTTGGTGGAGAAATGTTGTTTTTTACAGATGAGTCCAGGTTTAACATTTCCCATAGTGATGGACGTCAACGTGCCTATAGACGCGTGGGAGAACGTTATGCACAGGCCTGTGTCTTGGAGAGGAATTGCTTTGGTGGTGGTTCAGTGATGATTTGGGGTGGAATAACAGCACGCAAAAGAACTCCTTTGGTGATTGTTCAGGGCAACTTAACTGGTGTGGGCTACAGGGATCAGATTCTTCGACCTGTGGCAATTCCTTTTCTGCAACGTCATGACCCTGGGTTAACATTCCAACAGGACAATGCCCTCCCTCATACGGCAAGGGTTGCTATGGATTTCTTGCAACACCACAACGTTGACTTACTGCCTTGGCCTGCAAATTCACCGGATCTCTCCCCGATAGAGCATGTTTGGGACGAGATGGATCAACGTCTACGCCCTCTTCCTCATCCGCCAGATAACGTCCTTGACCTTGCAACAGAACTTGAGAATCTGGCGTGACATCCCACAAGCCTTCCTTGCACGCTCTATGCGTCGTCGATGCACTGCTGTTCTCAATGCCGATGGTGGACATACCCGTTATTGAGCTTGTGACATGGTCGTTTGACCCCTGTCCCGCTTGTGGACTCGTGACGTCATTGTGATTGACTTTTCAATTGAAATTCTCCCGACTTGTTATGGTCTCATGATCCCTCCATTCAAGTTTATATGTACCTTTGACATTGTTATCGTACTTATCAACTGGGATAATATTTTGACAATGCACAGTTTCTTTATGTGGCTAGTATATAAACATATGTGGTGTTGCCATACTTTATTCTATGTGTTATAGTTACTATAGACACTATATACTATTTTGTTTGGAACATTAGTACACACGTATAAACGTTTTTGAAGATTGCATAGAAAGATGTTTACAAGCTACTGGTCCCATGAACTCTGACGACAATACTACCCAAAACGTTAGAACAATTTACAATCTTGACCAAAATTACGTTGTTGCACGTGCATTCCGGGAAAGAGAAACAGAGCAAATGAATGCCACACAATACTGTCACTTTGGAAAGCTCAACCCCTGCCCTTGCGATCGTTCAAAAATTAAAAGGCTATTGAAACGCATAGCATGCCAAGGCTCACGTCTGCACAACGTCATGAGGCCATAGGAATGGTCCGTGGGGAATGTCTCAACGACAAGTGGCTGCACATTTCCACTGCCACCGGAACACCATTTCTGCACTGGTGAGACGCTACCAGAACACAAATCACGTCATCGAACCGTATCTAGTTATCGGCTGGTTAAACGTCCATC